TTTTTTTTTTCTTTTTTAAAAACGGCACAAAACGAAGAAACTAAAGAAGAAGAAAAAACGAATAAATACAATCAAAAGAAATAAATGTAAAGAAACACCCAAGAGACATTGTGATCACCAGCCCTAAAGTTCTATCTGAGAATCCATGAGAGACTTAAACACCAACACCACGACCAGTAGAACGAAAAACAAAGAAGCAATAAAAAAAAAAAAAAAAATCATTCCCCAAAAAACAAAATAAAAAAAAAAAAAACATTATTTAAACACTAATACTGTGAGGATAATACATGAGACACACCCGCATCAAAAACATCGTGAAAGACCTCTTCCGCGTACAGTACACTTAACTCAAATAATTCATTCAAACTTACCAAACCAAGTGTATCCCAACTAATAAAAACATCATCTACAATTAATGAAGGACTGTTTGAAGTCGCATCAAAGCATCTCTGTAGTGACTCACGTACTTCAGGAATAGAGGAATAAATAAGCACAAAATCATCCCCTTCTTCTCGATGAAAGTCTGAGAAAACACCAGTGGGTTTTGTGTACACATTAATTCCGCAGACGGTATGCATTGTCTCAGAAGAGAATAGACCAACTCGCCCATTCACAGGGTGAACCTCCACTGGTTCCACAAACACCTCGCGTAGATACGGCCGTTGATTACGGTAAATGTAATCTTCAAAGCCTGGCGGTGACGGCAGAAACGGTGGCTTATATGGATTCAACTGATAACGGAGAAACATTCGGTCGTGCATTTCCATACTTGGTATTGGATCCTCTGTGATAGTAGAGAATTCATAGGAGCCCAAATGGGAAATACGTTTACGATGTGTGCATAGATAGCGTTCATCGCTGCCTCCACTTAACAATGGAGGTTCCCGGTACACACACCAGTTACCATTATGTTCCAGTGATCCAACTATTGAGAAAGGAAGTGGTTCTTCCATGCATGTGATCTCAAACAGCGGTGTGATGAGTGTCTGCGGCTTTTGTGGCATAAACCTTCTTTTTCTTCTCCACTCCCAATGAGAACTGCACTCACTTTATAATGCCTGATTAACTGAAAAAAAACAAAGAAAGAAAAAAAGTGAAACAAGTCAATGCATGAAAGAATAAAAAAAAAAAAAAGAATATCAAACGTGTCCAAATAAAACTGAGTGGTACACACACACACACAGACACACAGAGAAAAAAATAAATAAAGAAACGGGAAGAAAAATAGGAAAACCAAAAAAAAAAAAAATAAGTAATGCTGTACTTCGTTTGTCGTGAAAAAAAAAAACATAGACGTGCATGTATCATTTTCTGTACATCTCCGTGCATGTGAATACCCCTGGAGGTCCATAACCAAATCATGCAGTGTCCTATTTGCGGAAAGAAGGGGGAGCGAAACAAGTAAACAAACATACAGAGACGCATACCACATAATACCAATAAAAGAGATAAATACAAAAAACAAAGAAACGAACAAAAAAAAAAAGAAAAAAGAAACAAACAACGAGCTCAGCTCTAGTATGCTTTCTTTGGTTGGATTCATTTAAGTCCTTCTCCACTTCGGTCTTTCTCTCCCACAACTATAGTTGCTGATAAAAGTTCACCATCTCTAGAGAAAACAACGGGTATGGATGCCGACGGTCGTACATGCCTAGCAACAACAGCATTAAAAGCAGCTAACTCAGTTACAGCATATCCAGCGAATCGTACCAATTGATCTCCTGCACGTAAACCAGCAGCGTGAGCTGGACCTTCTTGTTTAAGATCTGTACTACTGTTCACATACGTTTCAGTAACCTCATGAACTGTCAAAGTGGTTCGACCAGAATCATCTCGACCAACCGCAACACGAAAGCCAAGATAAGGTCTTGTAGTGGTTGCTAAGTGTAAAGCCCTTGTTGGAGTAGATGCACCTGAACGTGGTGCTGGTGATAACATAGGTGGAAGAGGACATGGTCCACTATTCTCATCTTCCTTGAAATTATCATGACTATGTATTAATGGAGGTGTCGACATAACACCAGAAGGAACACCTTTTTTCCGATCAAATCCAGGAGAACGCCTTGCTGAGGATGAAGCAGATGATGATGCTATTGGTTTATTACAACTTTGACCACGAGAAACAGGTGCACGCCACGATATTGGACGACTACGTTTCGTTTGCATATTCTCTTCCTCCATAGATAGTTTAGGACATGCCTGTCGTTGTGTTCTCTGTGGTGTGGCTGTTGAAGAGAGTGGGAGATCTGATCGACTGCGTTGTTTATTTGGTGTTCCAAATGTTCTCTCTGTTGTTACGGTGGATCTAGCTGGTGATGTCTCTGCTCCTATACTGCTGACTACAGTCATATTAGAATCTGCTACTCCATCTGCTAAAACTCGTAATTTTAAATGACGCTGCCATATTCCAGGGGACATTAATTCTAATAAAACGGCAGCATGTTGTACAAGCCATATAGCTGTTTGTGGTTTACAGAGACTTCGTAGAGGCAGTGGTACAATCATTGGAGCTCCTCGTGTAGATATCTTTCTTCCACTTCCCTCTAATTCTGTATCACTATGAGCTTTAATAGAGTCAAACATAGCTACTAGATCAAGAATAAGTGGAAGTACCTCAGCTCGAGTAGCAGGTGGAACAAAGTTAAGCCATCGTAATGAGGTACGATCTGTTTTTCCAAAGCTTCCAACACTATTGCTGGCATTACTACTAATACTATAGTCTAAAGAAGTAGGATTTACATTTGTGAGAGGTTCATCTAATTCAACTCCTGCTTGTCTCGCAGCAGCAGTAAGTATAGTTTGAAGACGTTGTGTAGTTCGATCAAATTCATCCGCTAAACAGCATGATGATACACTTGTGATACTCGTAATACTTTTTCTTCGTTCTGTTGGCACTTTTCCTTCAGCAAGAGAAGTAATAGGAACCACTCGAAATACAGAAGAATCTCCACCAGTAGAACAAAGTGACATACTAGCACTTCGTTCACTTCCTTCCATAGTAGGTTCAACGATAGGTAATTGTAAAGTACGTTCATTTGCAGCCATGATAAGATTTCTGTGTTTTCCACAACGTACAGCTGTAGCTTTAAGTGCTCTTAATACCGATCCAACTTGTCTTAACATTGCAACTTCACTATGGTTAGCATCATCATCAAAAAACAACATAACTCTTTCACGATTAGCATTATTTCCACCTCTATTTCGTGGAATAGAACTACTATTACTACTACTACGGTGATTTAATACAATAACATCCGTTGGATCCCGGTAACCAGCGAGTAAACACTCTAATGATTTTTGGATCTGTAAATGTTGAATTTCAGTAAGAAGAGTCGCATTTTGACTCTCTACTTCATCATGTTCAAATGCCAATTGAGCAATTCCCATTTCTAACTGTTCTTTTTCGTCACGAAGTTCAGATACGGTTGCAGTACTATCCACCGCATTTTGTACAACAATCCATTCACGATGCATTGTTGTTTTCTCATCTTCCATACGAAGGAGTTTTGCTTCAAAAAGAGCAAAACGATACCATTTAAAATAAACTCGTTCTCGTAATTTAGCTTCATCTATTAACATAGATGAAAGAGTTTCAACAAGAATTAAAGCTTGACGTGCTTCTTTTTGACGTTGAAGAAATAATTGCCATTTTTTCATATAATCTCGACATTGTTGACGATGATGTGTTTTCATTAATTCTTCTAAGAGCCAATTTGCTCGTTTCCGCCATTGTTTTTTTGATACAGTAGTTGTCAAACGATGCCAAATAAATCTAGCATCATCAAACTTAACATCACAAAAAGATAAATACAAACGATTAAAGGCTGCTGCTTGTAAAACAGCACGCCGAGTCTCAGTTGCATAACGGTGCCAACTATAATAGTAACGTTGCATGAGACCATAACGATTAATACGATTAAGAGCATTACCTATTCCATTTGAAAAGTTGGTTACTTCTTTTTTTTCATCCAAAACTACAAATAGATTATTGGCACGTTTTTCTAAAGTAGAAAGATCAACATGTTCCCGTAATACCATAGAATTTGCATTTTGACGTTGCCAACGTCTAAAGTAAATTCCAAGTAAACGTTCCTGTTGAAGTGATGCTAAAAAACATACTTTTCGTATACAACGATAACGTGCCACACGTCGTACACTCCATCTTTCCCATCGCCCAAAGGATTTTTGTAGTAATAACTTCATATAAGAGAAAGACATGGCGATAGATAATCTTATTTTTTCTTTACGTAGAAATTCTGGAAGTTCTTCACCATTTTGAGTTACAGGACGATGTAAGATATTTCTAAAAATAGTTTCACGTAATCCACTTCCTGCAACTAAATTTTGCAGTGCTACAAATTGTTTATCCAAGGTACGTAATTGACGTATATCGGTGATAGACTCACCTTCAACATCCTCTAATAAAATAGAAGTTACAGTAGACATAACAGGCATAGGTGAAGTACTTGTGCGTCTTTGTAATCCTGAAGATCCCACAGAAAAAGATAACTCCCGCTCAACAGAATGAGATGTACTTCTAACGCCTTTTCGTTTAGAAGGAGAATTATTCATTCCATGGGTACCAGTAGAAGTAGCAAACACACACAATTGATTCATTGTCTCATTCTTCAACATTGGTACTATTATTGGGTGGGTTATGCTAAGATCACGCCAAGCGTGAACTTGTACAATACTTGGATGTAACAAATCATAAACAGAAAAACATCCATCGGCGCTACCAATCCATAATAAACACCGTGATTCATGAACAGCAAGACCTGTTAATGGAGCATGAGAACGATGAATAGTACGAATCATTCGTCCAGAAGGTAATGCAAACATTCGGGTTGTACCATCACGAGATCCACTCAAAAATAAACGATCCCACGCTAATGCCAAACACGTTATCGTCTGTAGATGTTCACGCTTTATTGGCCATAAAAGAACACCTCCTTCCACATCTTCATTTCCAAAACCATGTGTAAGGGCAAGACGACGGCTTATTGGGACATCTCCAAGAGCTTTCATTAATTCTTGAAAGACATCACTAAATTGTGATACACGAGATTTTTTGCTCTTTTTCACTTTTACACCTTTTCGTCCTTTTTTCGATTCTTCAGTTCCTGCCACTATTGCCGTAGAGGCAGGAGTAGCATTAGCATTTCCATTAGCATTAACTCTAGTATTTCCACGTATTGGACTCATTTGCCTTGGAACACGTGTATTAGGTAAGTTTTCACGATCTGAGGTATCTTGATCATCATCATCTTCATCCTCATCCTCATCATCTGTGCTACTCTCCGTTTCTACTTTGTCTGTACGTCGTAACAAATTGAGATGCGGTGTTCGCACACTTACATCAGCACTATGGGGTCTTGCTGTTAGCGAGCGCCGTCCAGTTGGGGACTCCGATCGTGCACGCGTTGCGGTGGGACGTCTTCCTGTTATTCGTGAGGATGGATTGGAGGATGTGGCCCGTGTGGTTCGTGGTGTTTTTGCGAATACTGCAGGGGAAGTGCGTCCGGCGCGTGGGGTTACGTTGGATGAGACTGCTGTGGTCCGCACTAATGTATTGGAACCTCTACGATCAGGTTGTATTTGTTTTAACTTTAGAAGGCTTATTTTTGGCTGCCGTTGTTGTTGTTGTTGTTGTTGTTGTTGTTGTTGTTGAGATGATGATGGTGGTGGTGGTGGTGGTTCTTGTCCATTTAAACACAATGATGATGATGATTCTTTTTGTTTTGTGACTTTTTTACTTGTCTTCTTTCGCGCGGTGGATTTTCCAATGATCTGCATATTCTCTATTAATGACCACATCCTCAGTGAACCATCATCTCCTCCACTAAAAATAAAAGCCCCGCCGATGGTGGCTGCGAGAGCCGTCACCCCGCAGCGATGACCCTTCAGACGGCCAAGGCACTCTAATGTCACTCCATCCCATTTGGCAATAGTACAATCAGAGGAGGCGGTTACAAATACAGATGCACGGGGAAATCCAATCATTTCATCAGATCCCAATACAGTTGTCATGGTTACAGATACCATACATGTTATTGCCGAGGTATGCGCACGGGTACTTTGACATTCTTGAAAAGTAACAGCATCATAGACGCGAAGAAATCCGTCTGAATATCCGGCAACAACGCGATTGTGACCAATTTGAAGAAGTGAAGTGACCAAAGCATGTGGTTTACGACCTATACGATCTATTGCTCGATCTGGTAACATGGTAGGACGAATTTCTATACTTCCATCACTTCGAGCTAACCATAAATTGCTCTGTGTACCTTCTAGTGGAAGAGCATGTGATGATGAGTTACCATTTGTACTAGTTCTTCTATTAGGGTTGCTATTGCTACCAAATTCAACACCTAATTCTGTCTTACTTAGGCTTTCTCGACGTTGCTTAACTGAGACATCTCTTGTTGTTGTTGCTGTTGCTTGGTGGATTGTCTCTGCTGCTGATGTACGTACAACTACAGTGGTGGCACAACGGAAGGCTCCATTGAATTGCGCCACAAGTGACGTCTCATTATATGCCATAGTAAACCCAATAATATCAATAACAATAATACTAGTAATTACACCAACAATAGTAATAGTAATCGTAACAGTAGTAGTAGTACTAGTACTAGTAGTAAAGTAGTACAAAGAAAATTTCAACAAAAAAAAAAGAAGAAAAGAAAACGTGGAAAGAAGTAATTTCACTCTCTATGGCAAGACCTGCGGGCCAGGGGGGAAAGACAAAAGCAAATTACTTTTCCCTTCCGTTCTCTGTCTTTACTTTTCTTAGATAAGAAAGGCTATCTATCAGCTAAAACTTCAGTTGGGTTCGTCAAAAGCGGACCCTTTTCACAGAGATAGGAATTCACAAATAAAAAAAATAAAAATAAAAAAAGGGAACAAAATCGGTGGAAAAAAAAGTCAGTGAAGGAAACACTCTTTGGGTAAAGAGAGAATATTCATTGACATCTCCCAACGCAATAAGCAAATGGAAAAGAAGAAAAAAAAACTTTGGTTTGAAAGAATCTCCAGTAAAAGAAGCAGGGGAAAAAAAAACAAGAAGAAAAAAAAAGGTAAAAAAAAAAAAAAAAAAAAAAAAAAAAAAAAAAAAAAAAA